AGGAACAGTTCACCTGATTGCCTGTTCTCACTGCGGGACTTGATCAGGACAGAAAAGACAGGCTGTTTGTGTTTTTGCTTATTGCTGTACTGTGGTAGTGGCTGCACTGGGTCAGGCCATGCTTCTTTGGGGGAAACAGGCCCCTGCCTCTTTAAGCAGAGTTGCAGGGTGATGGTTCCGCTTGGTTGCATAACCAGAAAGGGATGTGTCAGTACTGGGACCTGCAGACAGCGAAGGCTTCATTAAAACGCTCGCAGAGACCTAGACAGATGAGTGGTCTCCAGTTGGAGTTCTTTCCATCTTCCCCATCTGTTCACTGCAGTTTTAATTAAATCTACTGAGATTATTTTTGGCCTTCTCCAAGAACAGAAAGCCAGCCTGTGCCAATGTCCACTCGTTTCTGTGCTTTACCGCCAGCCGCTAATGAGCAGGCACATGGGGTATCGCTGCCTGTGTGTCCCCCTCCCTTTACCAGCCATCATGAGTTGCTAATAGGGTAGGAACCAAAAGTGCCAAACCCAGGCCTCTCCACCTCCTCCCTCCCCACCCCCACCCTCAGCCGCACCTTGGTACTAAAGAAAGCCAGCTAATGAATGATTCCACTTGTGGTTAGCTAGCTAATGGAAATGACAGGCTTCAAATAACCTTAAAGCATGCAGCCCAATGCTTGTCTGTCTGATCAGGGCCCTTCTGCTGGCACCTGACACTTTCAATACCGTAATGGCATTCACATGCATTCTTTTTGAATGCTGTCATATAGCAAGACCTTTCGTCTCTTCCTTTGCTGGGAGGATGCCTGGCAAAGCTATTAAGTCTGTGATGGAAATGACAGTTAACTGCGGGCTTGTCAGTCCCACTTTGGAAGTCAGCACATCCTTATACCCATTAGGGGCGCATCACGGGAACTTCAGAAATAAGCTGCTGTAATACACAGTTGGGTTGTTCCACGCCTGCGAACGTACCACCCAGCAAGCTTTGCTGATAGTTCCGCCTCGCCTCTTCCCGTAGGTTTGGTTTTTGATATAATTTTAGATTAGGGGTAGTAATTACTTTTACAACAAGGCAGCCTAGCTCTTCTTAGTTGGTAGTTTGTGGTTCATAAATATGGTCTTCATAAATGTGGTCGGTGCTTCATGGCTTTAGGAGACTCATGTTAGTTGGGTTTCCAAGAGAAGTTCTGTCTCAGCTTCCAAATCCTTAATTGGCCTCCTGGTTTTGCAAAGGGGACTCTAGGTAGATGGGCGTGGTTTGTTACCAGCTATGTCTTGGGACCCAAGTTCCAGCCTGATCTTCTACTGGACTTTGACTAAGCCTCAGCGGCCCCTCTTGCCCCAAAGTACAAGGCCTCGCCTAGAGGCCGGCCTGAGTAGCCTGCTCTCCTCTGGGCCCTCTGAGATAAAAAAAGAAGTGGGTCAAAGAGAAGGATTCAAGAGATCCAGAGAAGCTGCTGCCCCAGCTCAGCTCTATTTATAACCACTCATTCCTCCCACTATAAGCGTCATTCTTACTGCAGTAACCCCTTTGTCTGTCCTTGAAGACTCCATTTTGTCCTTGACCCATATTGGCACTTCCATTTTGGAGGTGAAGGAGGGATGCAGTGGGACCTAAACACTTAGAAGGTTAGACGTACAGCCTTTAGTGTCTTGATTTGCCCATACATTCAATGTGGCTCTTCGTCAGGGCACACACTTCCACTTCTAACCAGCAGTCGAGAATCGAAGCTT